CAATTAGAGTGTATTATAATGGATGGGGGAACATATGTGATGACTACTATTATAGTTACACTGAAGCTATAGTCATTTGTCATCAGTTGGGATACACTGGAGTTTCAAGCTACTCTAGAGCTGGACTAACAAGGTATATTTCATTAATGATAATGATAATTTTTGTTTTGTAGCTATGGTACAGACTATCTTTCTATGAAATGGGATGATGTTAACTGTGCCAGTAGCAGCTATTTATCTATTGCTCAATGTTCCTACTCCACTTACATTGACTATGGTTGTGTTAACAGTAACAGTTATGATGCTACTGTATACTGCTGTAAGATATTATTATTGCTACATTTATCAGTATTATTACAGATACCACAAGGATCTGGAACAGTAATCCATATGATGGTATGGTACGTCTTCAAGATGGAGATTATTCTAATGAAGGACGTGTTGAGGTTTATTGTAATGGACAGTGGGGAACAATATGCAGTGATGGTTTTGACTCTAATAATGCTAACACAATCTGCAAGCAACTGGGATATGATGTATCATTAAGTTTTTATAATTTTTCACTGTATGCTAAAATTTAATAAAAGCTGGAGATATTTACTTAGTTTTTTTTTCTCCTTTTTTTGTAGACAAGAGAATGTTAGTGATGCAGCAGGATGGAGTCACTCTATTCGTAATTTACCGACTGATGTATGCTTTGTAACTGATACTTGTTCAGTTTCTTTAATTTCAAATTGTAAAATTGCAGCTGCTCTCAATTGTGGTAAATATTAAATAATTTTTACAGTGGTAATACTACATCAATTTTTATTAAAATGTTTTGTGCAATGCATTTTGAGAATTGGTAAGGGTGCATTAGGGGTCTGGTAAGGATCAAAAGTATTAGTTTAATAACTATATATACAATTATCATCAAACTTTTAAAAATTTTAATTTTATTTGGAGTATACCGTAATTTTACATCAAAACTTGCTCGGTACACTTTATACCAATTTTGTTCATGGTTTGACCTCTTATATAACATTTTTTTTCATTGTTCCCTGAAATATATTTCTGTTTCTATTAATACTTATATTAATATTTTAATTTGTTCATAAGTCTAGTGGCATGCTTAACACACTTTTATATCATACTTCATTTATTTTAGGTGAAAAGTCTACGTTGACAAGACGAACTGTGACTGCTTCAACTTGCAGTCAATACTATTGTGAGAGCAATTATAGTAGTATTATCTACATGTATGTGTATATTTTGATTTTTTAATATAATTAGCTCAAGCAGCTGCTGGAACTATTATTCTATCTCGTAATAATGTGTCTTCAACCACTTATTACTATGGAATAGTAAGGGTGTACTATAATGGTTGGGGGAACATTTGTGATGACAGCTATTATAATTCAGCTGAAGCTAATGTCATTTGTCATCAGTTGGGATACACTGGAGCTTCAAGCTACTCTAGAGCTGGACTAACTAGGTATATGTACATGAAAATGTCATAGATATACTAGTAAAATTTTTGCCATGTAGTTATGGTACAGACTATCTTTTTATGAAATGGGATGATGTTAACTGTGCCAGTAGCAGCTATTTATCTATAGCTCAATGTTCTTATTCTACTTACATTGACTATGGTTGTGTTAACAGTAATAGTTATGATGCTACTGTATACTGCTGTAAAATATTATTATTTTTACATTGTATTAATCAGTATTAATACAGATACCTCTAGGGTCTGGAACAGTAATCCATACACTGGTATGATACGTCTTCAAGATGGAGATTATTCTAATGAAGGACGTGTTGAGGTTTATTGTAATGGACAGTGGGGGACAATATGCAGTGATGGGTTTGACTCTACTGATGCCAACACTATCTGCAAGCAACTGGGATATGATTCATTCTCGTTCTTTCATCTTTCATAGTATGTGATTACAATTTGTTCACTAATGATTATTGTATAAAATTATTTTTAGTGATTCAAATGACAGTTTGCCTTTTTGGACTTCTAACATGTATAGTACTGGTTATGATTTGTGTTTTAAAGAGCACAACAATTGTCCCAACACTTCAGTGACCAGCTGCTCCTACTCCAACAGTATATCAATCCAGTGCAGTAAGACAGTAATTTTTTCTACATGTATTATGTGAATTATTTTCTGCTACATGTAGCTGATATTACATACAGTAGACTTGGTATTAACCAAGATACTTGTGCTAAAATTCCTGGTAAGTCTTCAAAATTACTGATTGTAAGTGCTGTATAACAATTTTATTTTGAAATTATAAAATTTTTTGCCAGTTTGGAGTTCACTAACAAAAATTTTTGTGAAATGGGCTAATGTAGCCAGGTCTGTCATTCAAATTTCAATGGACTTTAATTAAAACAATTCATGATGCAGGAATATAGTTTTATTATAAGTGATCTATAATACTAAACTTATGAAATTTTAAATTTGCTTTGGGTTTCAATTAAGGATATTAAGCTGATATTTTTGTAGTGACTAGTGATAAATTTCATATTTTAACTTGAGTAGAATTGTAGCTACATGCAACTTTTGTAACTACAGTGTAAAGTACTGTATAGCACAAAGTTTACAAGGGCTGTAAATTTTGCCAAAATTCTATTTTGTAAATTAATTTATGCTGAAGCTCACTGTTTGCGATAGAAAAATTGATTATAATTATTCTATGAATTTTCAAAAATCGTAAACTTTAGGAAATTTACTGCCCTTATAAATTTTGCTCTATAAGGTAAAAATATTGTATATCAGTGCATTTCTATTTTCCAAATATTAGCCACTGTCACCTACAGTTTTGTTTATTATCCAAAATTAATGTTCATTGCTACTCAAATCGTTCTGGATGTGTATAGATGCATATACTACAAATACAGTATGTAGAGTATGAATCAGACAAGCAACTTAACCAAGCAAAACACTGCATCAAAGAGTATAAAATTTATGAACATAAATTAGAATTAAATTTGAAGAGTTTGTTGAAATTAAATTTGTATTATATCCTAGCAATTAATTAACCATATTTACATGTAAATGCAAACCATATTAATGCATTTATTATATTACTTTAGACTTACTTCATGCTACAAATGGAACAATCATACTTTCCCGTAATAACACATCATCAACCTCTTATTACTATG